AGAAGTAAGAAAGAATGAAAGTAGTTTTCCTATACTTACTTGTAATTAGAATATATTAATTACAGCGTGCTTCTGTCTCCGCACTGTTGTCGCCCTGTTGATGACGCGGTTTAGTCGGACGCGGTTTAGTCAAGCGCGGTTTTGTGGTGGAACCGTTTAGGCTATTTATACGATCAGAAGCAATAATAATTAATATATTCTAATTACAAGTAAGTATAGGAAAAGTACTTTCATACTTTCTTGCTTCTACTGACATTAAAGAACATTAAAATTTGTAAGGCTACAAGCTGGTCCGTGCAGGGCAGTCATGTAGGACAGGGGTCTGCAACCTTGTCAACTTTAAACCTGGAGGACTTCAACTCCCAGAATTCCCCAGCCAGTTGGCTGGGGAATTCTGGGAGTTGAAGTCCGCCAGGCTTAAAGTTGACAAGGTTGCAAATCCCTGATCTAGAATGGCAATCATCGTTGCATACAAACAGGATTGGATAGCTTCAGAATGCCTTAAAATTTTTCCAGGATCTTTTGAGAAGTTACCAGATGTCAACTGAAGAATTAGGTACTATAACGTCCCATTAAAAGCAACAATTTGTTGCTATCTCTTTTGTTTAGCAGTGTGTTAAATATATTGAATTTAATGTGTGGTTTGGCTGAGCCACATTCATTGTGATAAAAGCCCACACATCTATAGCCATCATACTGTAAATGAAATACCTTCTTAAGCCAGCCAGTGTTACTCAACCTTGGCAACTTTAAGATGCATGGACTTCAATTCCCAGAATTCCCCAACCAGGAAGGTTGCCAAGATTGAAAAACATTGAGTTAGATGGACACTTTTACAACTTTTCCACCAGGCTCAGGACAAGTATGATGAGCTTTGCTGAAGTTCATTTGAGATCCTGAGAAAAATCAGCACAACCATTGAGTCTTATGGCCAATTTTGTGTCCCAGCTAAGACCTATTGTGGACAAGATCTATTTCCTTGATAATCCTTTTGTCAGAGAATTCATGGCTGGCAGAGACACAGTAACAAGGTCAGCCAATGAATAGGGCTTAGCAGCAAGGTCAGCCAATGGGAACTGAAACAGCTTGGCGCCTGGGCGTGGTTTAACCTTACAGCTCTTAATGCTGTGCTTAAAATTGAAACTGAAACTAGTTTGTCTGTATTAAGCTCTGTGCTGGAAATGAAACTAGTCTAGACCTGCTGCTCTGATCCTGAAACTGAAGAACTACTCTTGGTATTGTACATTTACTCATGTGTTACTGTGTATATAAAGAAGTTAATGAATCAGCAGAATCAGTTATCTTTGTGTGCTTTCTGGATTTGATTTTTGCCACAAACTCTGATACCTTTGAACCACAATTTTGCAAAAAACAGAATCCAGGGTCAGGGAATTCAAACAGGATAAGGACAATATCAAAATTGTATAGCCTTTTATTGAAATTAAAGAATGTTTGCCCCTTCACTCGCTGTGGACCTTGATGGACTCCCAGCTCCAAATTCATGGCATACACAATACAGAATATTGGTGAGGCCCAAGCTGTGTGTTTCCAATGTATTTTATATGTACACAAGCACACGCTCACTAATCATCAACTGTATTAAGGAATAGTACAGTTACAAGGCCAAAAAATTAGAGAAACCACACTCAGTCTGCATTTTCTTGCCAAAGTCTTAGCTTTTGATATGGATTCCAAAGCCAACCATAGATTACTTTCCAGGGGATGGTACTACCTATCCCCCAGAGGTGGTATTCTGCCGGTTCTGACCGGTTTGCCAAACCAGTAGCGGAAATTGCGGGTGGCTTCGGCCATCCACCCCGGCTCTACGGTATCCCATTTAGGCCCTCTTTTTAGGCAAAGTGCATGTGCAGAAGGCACTCTCACATTTGCAAACCGGTAAGGAAAGTACCATATTTTTCGTAGTATAAGACGCACTGGAGTATAAGACAAGGTTCTGAAGAAGCAAATAAAAAAAATAGGTAGGTAGATAGAGGGATAGAGAGGGAGAGAAAGAGAGAGAAATACAGTAGGTAGGTAGGTAGGGGGAGAGAGAGTAGTTAGTTAGTTAGTTAGTGAGGTAGGTAGGTAGGTAGGTAGGTAGGTAAGTAGGTAGATAAAGGGAGAGAGAGAGAAATACAGTAGGTAGGTAGGTAGGGGGAGAGAGAGTAGTTAGTTAGTTAGTTAGTGAGGTAGGTAGGTAGGTAGGTAGGTAGGTAAGTAGGTAGATAAAGGGAGAGAGAGAGAAATACAGTAGGTAGG